CTGGGCGATTTGATTATTTCAGGGCAACTATACTTGCAATGCCAACGGAAGTGCTTTAAGAAAAAACAGCACAAACCATTTACGAAGTCTTGAAAGGTATGGTGGTTGCTAGTTGCTAGAATAATTGTATAAACAGAAAAAATGTCTGTGTCAAATATATCAGCATCATCTATCAGTATAACATCAATAGGGGTAAAAAAATCATTCTACATTTCATAAAAGCTGAACGCAGTAAAAGGATCTGCAGAGGGCTAAGTTCACACACCTGAAACAATGACAGAGTAATTACTTCCCAGGCCTTGTCTCCATAAGGGGAGTAGTTACATGGCTCACAAAAACAGATACAGAAAATGAACTGCCTGACGATCTGGAAATGCACGGCAGTCTCATTCATTCACTCCCACCACTCAAAATGACTGAGCACCTAGTTTTCATGAGTTGTATCTTCAGGAGAATTGCGAGGTGCTGTTTCTTTTTTGGGGGGGTGGGTAGGAGATCAAAACTGTATTTGAAAACTAGCAATGAAGATAGATTCATGGAAACTAGCAAAATGGGAGCAAAATTTCAAACACAGGTGGATTTGAGCATCACACTGAATATAAAGTCAATGGCAACAAATCACCTAGCTGAGCTGAGTTCAGTTCTCCTTTGACAGGAAGGAGCAACAGCAAGGTGAAGTGCAGAAGCACTCATCAGCTTCACCCCCAGGGCCACTCTGCTGACTTTCTCCTACTTGGAGCTAGGGAGCGGTTTAAATGTGTGTTTGAGGCGTCTGGCCTACAGTGGAGCTGCATAACTTTTCATTCTTCTCATAGTCTGCCACCCAGCAAGGGCGGGGACTGGGCTTTTACTGCCGCATTCGGCCCCTAACACAGCACTGAGTAACAGGTGTCTGTGGGGATAGCGCGAGGGGAAACGGCTTTACTTCCTGGAGTTTACCAGAAATGATCTGTAGACGACAAATTGGTGAGGGTAAAAGTGGAAGTTTATAACTCCACGATGCAGTGCAGGCTGGCACACTGAGACCCCAGAGGACAGAAAAGTGAAGGAGAAGGCCGTCTCCTAAGACTGGAATCTAAATGCCTCCATTCAGCTGGTGATTGACTAAATTTTATTTCATGTTCTTTTTTTATATCTGCCAAAGGTCTTAAGTTAAGCTTAGATAAGTTAAACGTAGAAATAAAGAATAAAAGTCACTGGTAAACCTGTTAAACTAGTAAATGCATCAGATGAAGATGTCTCTCTCAATCATTTTTGCAATTGCAAAAGAAACCTGGCATATGATACAAGTTGAATGAAAAAGGAAAGTTTCAAGAAATCAAGAAAAAAAAGATGACGACAAATAGCGCCACAAAGCCATAGATATTGTCCAGGATTTAAAAAATACTAGAATAGAACTGGCTTAAGAAAACATCTCTAGCCCTTGCTGGCGTGGCTCAGTGGATTGAACACTGGCCTGTGAACCAAAGGGTCGCTGGTTCGATTCCCAGTCAGGGCACATGCCTGGGTCCCTAGTCGTGGGTATGTGAGGCAAACTCACGTTGATGTTTCTCTCCCTCTCTTTCTCCCTCCCTTCCCTTCTCTAAAAATAAATAAATAAATAAATAAGTACATAAATGATCTTTTTTAAAAAAGAAAACACCTCTAATAATTTACACTAACAATTGAACTGTTTCACACATCCCGCCCACAATCTGAATCAAACAGAAGTGTCCTGTCCTAGAAAAGAACCCAAGGGGAACAGCGGAATTTCTACATTACCAGAAGTCAAGGGATCTAAAATGAAATTAGATTGCTGACTAGAAACCATAACTGATTCCAATTCTAAAATAAACTTAAGGTTCCACACAAAATGTCCTAGGCAAGTGACACCCTACAACTGTCTTAAAAACATCAACATGAAAAAACGAAGAGCCCTGACTGCTGTGGCTCCGTGGGTTGAATGACCTCCTGCCAACCAAAAGGTCCCAAGTTCGAGTCTGGATCAGGGCACATGCCTGTGTTGTGGACCAGGTCCCAGGTAGGGAGTTTGTGACCGATTGATGTTCTCTCACACATCAATGTTTCTCTCCTTCTCTTTGTTCCTCTCTTTAAAAATAAATAAAGTCTTTAAAAAAGAAGAAAACACAGAAGTATCAGTCAGGTTTATTGAGTGTCATCTATTTGCCAGGCTCTGTTCTAAACATGTTCCCATATACAGTCAGGAACCCTCCAGGTAGGATCCCTTTAAAACAAACAGAAAAACAAAATGAAAACTACTATTTTACAAAGGAAGAACCTACGACACAAAGAGGGTAGGGAACTTTTCCAAAAAACATGGTTTAGGAAGCATCAGAAACCCAAGCTGACGTCAGGCGTGAGGCTCCCCGGGTCAGTACTTCCTATCAAAATGGCCGCCTTGGTGAAATTCTGCTCTAACTCTTAGGGCACCTGTTCGGATGCTATGAGAAAGTGGAATTCTTTTTGCAAGGACAGAGTTTGAAAGTTATTTTCAAATTAACACTAAAAAAGAGTTCCCAGTTGTCTCCCCAGGGGAATTATCCTCACTCTCCTGGTTCAATTGCCTGCATCCACTCTTTTTCCTACATTATTCTCCTAGGATAATGAATGCATAGCATGGTGCCAGGAAAATGAGTTCTCAGTAATTGTTGACAATCAATGAATATAATAGCTGTGTAATAAGTGCTCACCGAACTGAATTCAAATGAACAAAAGGAAAATCCCAATCATCTGCATAAACAGAGATTGGAATAGGCTAATGAAGAACTGTTTCACACCTCAGGAAGAGGAAAAAGTAGTTAAAAGTTCTGAAAGAAAACACTCAGGCTCCAACATTAATATATATGACCCATCACGTCTTTATACAGCCAGTCTGTCCCACATCCTGTCAGTTTACCTTCCCCAGAACCTCACTTTTCTCTCATCTTAGCCACATCCGTCCTTCAGACGAGTGGGAGGAGGGCAGCTGTGGGAGGAAGGGAACATCGCACAGTCACAGCCGCTTCGGCTGGACCGTTCTCCCCGGCCTTCCCAGGTGGAGAAGGGCTGGAGTGGGAATGTACAACCTCCACCTTCACCTTGGTGGCCTGCCCCGACGTGCCAACTCTCAGGAAGGCGTGAAATCAGCTCAGCTTGTCCATCAGGGAGCACAGTTGGACCCTGGCTGAATTCTATCCAAGGGAAGGGGAAGAAAACTTTTGAAAATTAAATGGAATGAAGAGCCTTTTCCTCAGGGTAGGCCAGGTGCTTCTGATGACTGCTCACTGGAGAGGGGGTTCACCCGTGGCCCCAGGGCTTCCTCCTCTGGAGAAGGAAATGGGAAGATGGGCCACTGGCAACCTAAGCCAGACACACACCGTGATAAATGTCACAGAATCAATTTGCCAGCAGCCTGCTAATGAGGAGCGTCGCACACCCAATCCTCTGTGCTTTTAATTTCCAAGAGGCATTTTAACTGTCTTAGCTCAGACATGATCCCCTGGGGAGGCATGGGGCACCTGTCCAAAAAAAACAAAAGGTCAGACTTGGTCTTACGGAGGCAAGAGAAGTAAAGGTGCAGGAGAAGAACAACCCACAGAATCCAGGGCCATATGCCTAAAGTATACTGGTTTGGCCTCTATCCCCCAAAAGCCGTCCCTGATACCTTTATGCCACAGAGAAGAGGGCCTTGAGTCCTAGAGAAAACTATGGAAAAAGCATTTCATTCAGCCTCATAATGGAGCCATTCTCCTCGTGCATGGCAGCCCCAGGGAGGTGTTAGCCACTATTTGTCAAAGGGCAACTGCACACAAACTGGAGGAGAGAATGAAAAAGAAATGGCAGCCAAGAGCCTGCAAGTGCACATGCTCTGAAATTAGCCACACCCGTCTCCATGGGGGGGGCGGAGGGGAAGCCAGAGAGTCTGTCCTACTCAGCTCTTCCCCAGTACCTTGCCTGGGATGATGTCTTAACTCTATTCCATCTGCTCAACTTTCCTAAAAATAATGGAAATTCATTAAAGCTTGTGGTCTACAAATTGCTCTGCAAGCCCTTAACAAAGAGGAACAAATTTAAAAAGTCTGTCATTTTAATTCAAGGGTACAAAAAATAAAACTCAAAAGAAAAAAAAAAGGTGCTCTGATTGGGTAGCTCAATTGGTTGGAGCATCACCCCCATACACAGAAAGGTTGAGAGTTCAATCCCCACTCAGGGCGCATATGGGAGGCAACTGATCTGAGACTTCCAGGGGCTGTTTCCCTCTCACTGACGTTGCTCTCTCTCTCCCCTCCCCAGCCCCCCTTTCCCTTCTCTAAAAATCAATAAACATATCCTTGGGTGAGGATTTAAAAAAAATTGTTTTAAATAAAAAAGAGGAAAAAGGCAAAAGTAATTAGTACAGTCTATAAGTAAATAGCTAACTCAACCAATAAACACATGAAAAGATGCTCAAGCATCGATAATTATTAAGGAAATGCAAACCGCAACCACAATGAGAGTCCCTCACCTCCATTAAGATGGCTACTCACAAACAAACAAACAAACAAACAAACAAAACCCCCACCAAATAACAAGTGCTGACAAGGACGGGGAGAATCTGGAACTATACGATTCCACCTATGTGAGTACTTGGAGTAGCCAAGGTCATAGAGAGCAAAACGGTAGCTGCCAGGGGCTGGAAGGAGAAGGGGACAGAAGGTTACTGTTGAATGGGCAGTTTCACGTGGACAGGACGGGGGCTCTGAAGATGGATGGACGGTGGTGATGCTTGCAGAGCCATGTGCATGCATTCAACGTACGCTCAATGATTTAGAATGGTTTTTAGAAAAAATTAGTTAGCTATGCCTGTTTTCTGTCAAATTAAAAAAGAATGTCACTCTATGTGGGGTGCAGAGGAGAGTCATAGAGAGGAAAACTACAGGTCTACCACGTAAAAACAATACACGTTTTCAAGCTCTTTGAATTCTAGGCTCGTCTGCAAAACCTACTTAACCACGCACATCTACCCCTCCAAAGCCACTCACCTCACTGAGGTAAATAAAAAAAGAGCAGGTGGACCCATCCACTCCGTAGTCTGCGTAGCAGGGATCCGAGCGCCACATATCTTTCATCCACTGAAACGACAAGAGCCAGGTAAGAACATCTCTGAACAGCCCGTTCCTGGTGACCCTGCCCGTCTCCTGACAGAGGGGGAGAACATGTGCATGGCTCAAGTGGAGGCTTAAGCTCGGTCACTTAGCTGCGGTCAGGATGACAGACTCAGCTCCTGCATGATCCACAGACACACTGGGACTTGGGCTGGGCCTTGAGATGTGCTCAGAGTAGAGAGGTCACAGGCACTTCAGACAGCGAATCCCAGGAGAGGCAATCAATAGCTAGGGGAGCTTTATCACGAGCAAGTGCCTCATGGGACCCTGGCATCAAAATCCCCTCCCCAGAAAGCCGGTTTCACCAGCAGGAGCACAGTGCCCAGAAGGCAGCGTACGAATGAGCACAGGAGTCCCACACAGAGACCGTGGAAGTGTTCCTGGGGCTGGGCCCCACCACCCTAACCTTACTCCTGAACCGAGACTCTTCTCTGGCAACTACTGAGCAGGGGAGCGGTCTGCCCAATGACAGGCCATGTAAATAAGATTTTTAAAAAAATATGAAGACTAGAAAAGCGGCCTAGTGTCTCTGGGTATTCAACAGCAAATGCAAATGTGACATTTAAATGACAATCTAGAGACCTCTGGGCCTAGGGACTGAGAGAAAGAAGCTGGACACTAAATAATGGCAACCCCTTGTCACTGGCCCTTGAAAGATCACCTGCTGAAGGCTGGGAAAGCAAGGGAAAGGCAGCATCAAAGACACAGCAGGCGCCTGAAATGGTCCAGGCTCCTTCAGTCTGACCAGTCAGAGCCACTGTTGACTGACCTCACAGAGTTGGCAGTGGCAGGGAAGGGTTGTCATGACCACAGCCCCAAACAGGCAGGACTGAAATAGCCCTTAAATGACTCCCTTAAAGGGCTCACTCACCCTTTAAGGAAGGGCGAATTAGTGTCGAATGAGGATGATGGAAATGAATACTCAATACTTCAGCCTTACCTTGATTTTCCCCTCACAGTGGGGGTAGCCATCCATAGGAGGCAATACACATTTTTCTTGAGCTCCATTAATGATATCTGTAAAGAATGAAAAGAACAAAGGATATATGAAGTTCATGAAACGAAGCCTAGCACCCTTGCAAGCAAGGTGCAGGAAGAGAAATTGAAATGAGAATCGCAGTGGTAGCCGTGTGCTGACCTGTGCAACCCCTCTGCTAGCAAAAGGTCTGACTGCTGTGCAGTGAGGACAGGCCACCTGCAGGATGTGTGTGGCCCAGTTTGAATGGGTGAGCCACATCAACCAGAGCGGTTGCTTGGAAATCTACAACTGGGAAACTGAGAAACCAAAGAAGTAAGGAGCAGGAAATAGAGCCGCAGGATTAGGAGGGCCTGCGGGCTGGCAGGGCTGATGCCAGGCCATGCTGACAGGCTGAGCTCGCGAGCAGCTTCGTGGAGACGTGTGCTAGGGCTGAGGCAGCCGGCAGGAGACAGAGTTAGTGGGTGGAGGAGCAGAAAGCCATTAGGTACTGTGAGCGGAGCCTCTTAGGGACTCAGGTCTTAAATTTCCTTGAAGATCTCCTTACTGCTTCAATTATTTCCTCACGGTAAGCTCCCTTTCAACTAGCTAGCTCACATCGGCTCCTATTCCTTGTAACTACAGAATCAAACCAAAAAGAATGCCTTTAAGAAGCTTACGGTTTAGGGGTGAACAGCAGATGAATAATTAAACAACTGAACAGCAGTATGAGTGACATCATGTTTGGGAGGGGCAAGGGAAGGACACCCATCCCACTCTGAGAGTCAAAGACCTCCCTCTTGAATCCAGCTACAGCTTAGCTGGGATGTGAAGGGGAAGTAGGAGTGAGCCAGGTAGAGGGACAAGGTAGAGATGATGTTCAGGAACTAAGGTGGTTGGTTGTAAATGCAGGGACCTACTCTGACTGCAATGACAGTGGGAGGTGCCGAGAGGTCAGACAGAAAAAGCAGGTTCAACCCAAATCAGAAAGACCTCAAGTACCAAGATAGACTCTGGTCCTTATACCAAGGGCTTGGCAGATCTCTGAAAGGTTTTTAAGGAGGGAAGGTTACAATCAGATTTTTGTTTAGGAATGTCCTAAACAAATGTATGTCCTGACATACATTCGAGATGTATGTTAGGACAACCCTAAATGTCCTATACTTTCTGGACCTACTATATTTTCCATTGCTTGGACAATGTCACCATTACGTCCTGCTAACAGTTTTCTATCTTTACAAAGGACCAATGAGAAACTGGACCCCAGGCCGCGATATCATTTGACAGTGGTATGGAAGTGATGTCGGCGGCTGCTGGGGCTAGAAGAGAGGAAAGTGCTAAAGGTGGGGAGGGGAGGGCTAGTGGTATCTTTTCTTGAAAATCAGTTCTTCTGATAGTCTGAAACAGAGAACCCCTTGGTTCAGTGTTTTCTACTTCCTAAGGAAGCTGAAAAATTAGTACTTCCTTATCACAGATCAGAAGCAGTGCCATGTAACAGTTAACTTGGAACGTATTTATCTTGGCAGAGCCTGTTTCCCCATCCACAGAATGGGAATAACTACACCTCTATTTCACCCAGCTCTTATTTAATAGGTTAATATTTGTAAAGTCTAGCACTCCTAACAGCTGATAACACTGAACAGAGCGGATGCTTAAAGTTGGCATTTGCTGTGTAATTCGACACAACTGCCAGTCACCATATCCAAGAAAGCAGCATTTCAAATGTACTGCCGCTTCTGAAAACAGACTCTCTCTCACTTACTTGTAAGGAACAGCCAGCTCCACAACCCACTTATCAAATGGACTGCCTCACCAGCGAATACTGATGCTTTGCAGTGACTATGGCTCCTATCACTACTTTTAATTCGATTTTGCTTGGCAACATTTTACCAAGCAAATAAGCAGCAGCAGCAGCGGCAGAAGTTGGTTGTAAGAAATTAGACTGAGTAAAAAACAGCTGGGAATTGGGGTGATCAAACATTTAAGGGGGACTTAGGATGAAATGCCTCCCTTTCTTCACATAGTATTCCAGTTCCAGATGTTCAGAGCCAGAAGTCATCAAAACTAGAAGCTACGGAGTTGCAGGTGTAATGTGGGAGGTGAAGAGAAATCACTGGGTGGTTAAACTAACAGGTCCATGAATGTCTGCAGGGAAGCCTGGCTGCTGTCAATGTGTGTCCTCTTCACTAGGAGTTTTAAGGAATAAAAATGTTACGTCAAGAGTCAGCAAACACTGACCATCAAGGACCATATGATCCATGTTTGAGGCTCGGCAGGCCACATGGTCTCTGTCACAACCACCTACTCAGGTTTGTACCAGCAACGCAGCCACAGACAATAGAGGGAAGAATGGACATGGTCGTGCTCCAGTAAAACTTTATTTACAAAAACAGGCACAAACGCCCTATGTCTGCTATGCTAAGAGAGTTCCAAAATGAGAAGCCTCGTTTCTGCTAAGACCTATTGAAATGACTTTTTAAAGGCCACCTGCAGGATCCTCTGCCAGTGCCAGGAACGCTGGGCCAGGAACGCCAGGCACTGCCAGTGCCTTCTCACGCCCTTCTGCCTCCCACTCGGTGAAGCCCCTCCCGTGAGACCCCGCTCAGGCCCCACCTCCTCTGGGAGAAACGGTCCCAGTCTTCCCCACACTCAGTCAGCATTCAGCGCCACCCTGGCTGTGAACAATCACACGCTCTTTTTTCCCCCATTTGCCCATCATGCCTCCTAAGCCTTGAGGACTTTACGGGAAGGTGACGACTTTCTGCCCTGTCACCAGGCACTCGGGAGTACTGTCTGACTGTGCGGCACACCGTGTTCCACGGGCACCCTGGCTCTGCCTCTTTGCTCGGGGAGAACCAGACGGAGCTGAGACCCCTGCCAGGCCAGGCTTTTTCCTGCTCCTCCAACCAGCCATTTCTCAACTCATCCAACAGGGTCTCCTCTGCAATTCCATTTTCTTACGATGAATCTTCTACTTAGTTACACAGTGACAGGGATGAATACACAATGAATTCCAAAAGCTCGGTATTAGTGGCTTGAGGCCCTGGGGTAGGAGAGATCTGTGAAAGGGAGAATCAGGTGCTTCCAGCTGCCTCCCCAGCCTGGGCCAGGGCTGCTCCGAACCCCAGCACCAGTGACCGGGTGAGACCCTCATCGCCTCCCAGCTCCTCTCAGAGGGCAGCTCCCCATTTTGTTTTCATCACAATGAGAAAGATTCAAAACATAATGTTTTTGTTAGCTGGAGTCCACAGGACACTTTCCTACCTGTGGAAGAGCCTCCAATTTAAGTTTGGTTGAAAACCAAAAATTCAGATTAATGTTACTGCTTTTCAGGGGAGATTTACCTTACTGTGCACAAGGCCCCTTCAAAAGGAGGAGACAGGATTCTGCCAAGATACGTTAGTAAAATCTTCTCTCTGCTAGTCACCCCATGCTCTCCAGCACCCCATTTTTTAAAGGGTGAAAGGGCAAGGGAAAAAAGATGTTAATGTAAGCAATGAAGCTTGGCTCTTACTACTGCTTAGGATCCAGTTTCATTCCTTACTCTCACACACCAGCCCACGTTGCATCTTTCCCTGAAGACCTCGCTTGTGCACTGATTCTGTGGTATTGTCAACCAGGCGTCACACAAGAGGCAGACAACACAGGTATGAAAACTCTGTTGCTTTATCAGTCACCAGGACTCACACAATGCAGGAGGGGCTCAATGCCGGGTTTAATCTAACAGGACACTTTCCCTGTTACCAAAAATGATTGTTTCTGGAAGGACATGGATGGTAGGAGCAGAAGCAGCCACAGATGTCACAGACACGCCCAGGGTGGGCCGTTCCTGTGAAGTGTGGAGCCAGGCCCCCGGCTGTCCTAGTGCACAAACACAGAGGCGATACATGTACTTGGAAGCCACAGGACAGAGATAGGAAACCACACACACATTTTTTGACTCATGCTTTCCTCTGCCTCTGAGGGAGGAAGGAAAGTGGGGAGAGAGGAGGGCAGCGAGGACAGAAGTGACGATGGCTCAGGGACACAGTGAGAACAGTGAGAGGGCGACACAGGAAACCAAAGTGAATGAGAACTACCTCCCTCGATAGAGCAGCTGCCCTTCTAAAGCGCTGTCGAGTACATGAGCGCATGGAGCGGTACCCATATCCTCCTGAGAAAGGAGGACAGTCGACTATCTAATAGTTTGAAGAAGAGAAACTTTAAAATCCTTGGTGTCTGCTTCCAAACTCAGCCTGCAAGTCACCTGGAACATCTCCAAGAGCCTGCTGTTTGCCATGTGCTGAAATGTCAAAGCTGCATCCTTGAAAGGCATGCTCTGTCCTCAAGGCGCTCACCACAGCTCGGGGTGTGGGGGAGGTGGGACCACACACGACAGAGTGAGGCACCTGGCAGCAGAGCCCCTCCCCATGCACTGCGCTCCTGGGAGGTGAGACAACACCCTCAGTGCCCGGGCCCAGTGCCCAACTCAGTGCCTGGCCCACGGGCAACTCCGTAGTATATATTTTAAACCAACGAATGAACAAATGTAACAAAGGAATGAAGAGCCTAAGTTCTTGAAAAGTGAAGAGGGGAGAAAACGTCACAGAGGAAAGGAGTGGGAAGTCCTCCTTCGGAATCACTGAACCAGGAATTCCCAGTTCTGGACACACACTAAACACAACGGGAAGGAACTTGGGTTCGACATAGAGAAATGGGGGGTAGGGCAGTGACACACGAATCATTTCTGATGCAAAGAGAGGGGAAGTGGTTTATCTCCCGAGTATTACTGGCATTCACACCTTGTTGGTATTTAAAAAGAGAGGTTTATGGTTTTGCTAGATATGATCTTAATGATTAATATGTGTCTAAACTTTTGGCATCTCTAAGCCGCAATGGAAGAAAATTGGTCTTGGGCCACACATTAAATACACTGCAACATGTAATTACCAAAAAAATGTCATAATATTTTAAGTAAATTTATGATTTTGTGTTGGGCCGTACTCATAGCCACGCTGGGCCACACATGGCCTGGAGCCGTGGGTTACAAATCCCACTGTGTATTCACAAAACAAACACAAGA